CCGGGATCCCTCAGTACACAGGCTGATGCTCTATCCACTGAGCCAAACCGGTTAGGGCAATCTTTCTTAATTATTAAAGAATATACTTTCTAGGTTGATATATTAGATTCAAAAAATATGAAAAAAACAAAAGCTATATGATACAGAGGTTGTGGTAGAATGTATTACTCCTTCCATACCTGACTTCTGCTAAATCTGTTGTGCCTTATAGGTAGATTTGTAAGCAGTTATAATCCAGACAGTCTTTTTAAAAGTTGCTTAAGGAATTATTTAAAGATGCAGAGTCTTTAAAAACCCAAGCTAGATTTTTGTGGGCAAAATGTAATCACTTTATTAGTTTCAGAAAAAGACATATGATTAACTGCATGATACTATATGCTGATACTTTCATTGTACACAATGATATCAAAATGTCCACAGACTTCAGATATTTCTAAAATATTAACTATTCAATTAGTTTTAAAGATATCTTCTGGTTTAAAATTATTGCCTACTAAAAGTTGCATATGTAATATAACATCCCAATTTTCTCATCTTAGAAAAAAGTGTAATGATATGGTACGTATATTCAGTGGAATATTATTTCTTTTGCCTGGCCAGTGTCGCTCAGTGATTGAGGGTCAACCCATGAACCAGGAGGTCATGATTTGATTCCTGGTCAAGTCACCTGCCCGGGTTTCAGGCTCAATCCCCAGTAGGGTTGTACAGGAGACAGCCAACTGATGGTTCTCTCTCATCATTGATGTTTCTATCTTTCTCTCCCTCTCCTTTCCCTCTATGAAATCAAATTTAAAAAACATATAAAATACAAAAACAAACAAAAAGATTATTTCTTTCCCTTTACAGCTTAAATAACATAACAAATACACATTTTTGACTCTACAAACTGAATCCTTTATCAACTAAGTATTACAATATCCATTAGATGCAAAGCATCTACTAGATGCTTTAGAATTTACCTAAAATGACAGAGCCTTAAACAGATCTCAAAGGTTTTCTCAAAGAACAATTCCATGAGTATATATTTAAAAATCAAAACATTACCTATTCTGGATGGCATGGCTCAGTGGTTGAGCTTTGACCTATGAACCAGGAGGTCACAGTTCAATGCCCAGTCAGGGCACATGCACAGGTTGTGGGCTCGATTCTCACCCTCCCCACTGTGGGGTGTGCAGGAAGCAGCCAATCAATGATTCTCTCTCATCATTGATGTTTCTATCTCTCTCCCTCTCCCTTCCTCTCTGAAATCAATAAAAAGATATATATTTTAGAAGAAAACAAAACATTACCCATTTTAAAATCTGCAAAGACACAAGAATCGTCCAAGTAAAAAACACATGCCATCAACTAAAACCGCATGTCATATTTCTGAGATACTACCGAGGGAGCTGCTAACACAGATAAATAATATATGAAGTTGAAATAAAATAGTAACGTGAGATTCTTTTAAATCTTCAATATTTTGGTACTTGATGCATTATGTTGTCATATTTTTCAGATGAAAATCACAGAAAATTTTGTTTCCTTTGGCTACAGCATATTTATACTAAAAAGCACAGGACACAGGAAATTCCTATTTAGGATATTTAAAGAATCAGCAAAGACAGAGCATATATGTAACTAAGGCATTTCTTACGTTTCCATTTAAAAACCTGTTTTTAGTACCCTGTACGCCAAGCTAAATCATGCCTTCTAAAAAGTCTTTATAATCCCATGTCAGGTATAGGTTTAATTCCTTTTTATGTTAAAGGATTTGGTGTTTTCCAAATGGCACCACTACTGGAAAACACTTTTTTTTCTGTAATCATTCTACATATAGCAAAAAATTATACAAGAGAAAAAAAGAATACTGAAGTTTAGGTTTGAAAGATTTTTCCATCTGTAGCCAGCTAATTACTGTGAAAACAGTAATTAGTGTCAATTTTTAAACCTGAAGGTAAAAAATAAAAAACTAAAACATTTAAGTAAATGGTGTACAAGAGGGTTCCATCTTATATAATAAAACCCTAATATGCAAATCGACTGAACAGCGGAACGACCAGAGGTCACTATGATGTGCACTGACCGGGGTCAGATGCTCAACGCAGGAGCTGCCCTCTTCCCCCTGCTCCGCTCTATGGTCAGTGTGCTCCCACAGGGGGAGTGCTGCTCAGCCAGAAGCTGGGTTCAGGGCTGGGGAGCGCAGTGGTGGTATAGGGAGCCTCTCCTGCCTCTGTGGAAGCGCTTAGTGGCTAAGGAGTAGTGAGCCCGGCTTCTGGCTAAGCAGTGCTCCCACAAGGATTTTGTGCACCCAACCTCTAATAAATATATAATGGCAAAGTCTTTTATTTAAACATTTATGAACAATTTTGGGGAGAGAAATTTTATAGAAACATTTTGCCGACTAATGAAATGGATTGAAATCAGCTACCAACAGCTACTATACCATCTATGCCACTCATGGATTTAAAATAATCATAATGGTACTAACTCTTCTTCTGCTTTGCAAGTATCCTATACAATAAAAGGCTAATATGCATATTGTCCCTTCGACTGGGAGTTCGACACGGTGCGGGCCTAGCTGGCAAACTGCCCGTGGCCCCCCCACCCCCATCCTGATTGGCGGCGGGGCCAGTCCATCAACTGCTCTCGGCCCCTCCCCCCAGCCAGCCCGATTGGGGCCAGATCCCACCCGTGCGTGAATTTGTGCACCAGGCCTCTAGTTTAAAATAATAATGAATCAAGTCTCTCCCAGATTTAATTAAAATATGGTCAATAATAATAAGTGGTTGAGAACTCCTAGCTTATAGAAACATATGTGGGGTTTTTAAAGAAATGACAAACCCAAGTACATAAAACTAAAACCTAATAAACAATTCATGCTTAAACTATAAGACAGGGTATATATGTATAATGAATAGCTGAGTGTTCAGTGAAGAGAATCTAAATATATTTGGCATTGATTAAATATACCCACATTCACCAATTATCTTATATGAAAACATTCTTTCCCCACTGAAGGTCCATATTCAATAAAGGGTTGACAGAGAAGATCTGGGCTACTGAAATCCTGTATGTTCCCAAAGTTTTTAGGACTGGCTCCTGACCGGCTCCTGGGAAGTAACCTTTGCCTCTGCAAATCCCGCCTCCTAAGAGTATCTCAGTATACCTGGTGCTTTGGCCACACCACACTGTTTAGGCTAACAATGT